AGAATGTTGTCAAGAACATGTCCTTCGCTTATGTCAAACCACACCCAGAGTATTATGTACAAACGTTGTTCCCTTGATTAAAAAACAAAACAAGATAGACTGGAAAGAGCACAGCGAAAAGCAACTGGAGTGATAAATGGGATGGGCTACTAAGAATATAAAGATGGGCTTAGGGCCTTACATTTGTATTCACTGAAATGTCGTAAACTTAGAGGGGATCTGATACAGGCATGCATGATAACAAAAATGATAGACAAGTTAGATCTACATGAAGCGCTGGAAACTAGACCGATACATAGAGGAAATCAGTTTCATTTATCAAAAAGTCGGGAGAAGAACTATGAGAAGGCAGATGTAATTTCGTCAAAGAATAGTGGACCATTAGAATGGGTTGACAAACCAGGTTGTAGGAAGTCCCTCTTTGGGGACATTTAAAAATCGTTTGGATAAGTTCCATCGGTGTAATGATCTCATTTATAGCTAAACTCATACGGGCCAAGTCGTAAAATTAGTTTCGACAAGTTCTATCGGTGTGAAGATCTCCCTTATGCCTAACTCAGGTAGGTCAGGTCGTAAGATTAGTTTCGGGGATGTGTACGGAACCTGAGGTAAGCGAACTTCAATGGGCCTTTATGGCTCTTTGATGACTATATGTCTTTATGTCTTTATGATCCGTCGCTACGATCCCAGCAATCGCCGTCATCGAACTCCCAGTTCGGACTGGGAGTGGCGCTGCTTCATGTAACGGGTGAAATGGGGCAGATGTCGGTCACTGCTATGCGTCCTGCAGCAGCAAGTGTCCCAGCAACGGCAGCACCCGTTGTCACAACGACTCAGCCGCCGCGGTCCCCTGGCCGCGGTCGAGGCTGCCAGACCGCCGCGCCGCCGGCGCTCCAGCTCAAGTCTTCAACGTCCCCAGAGCGCGTGACGCGTGCAGAGCAAGCTCCCTGGCGGCCTGTTCGCGGGAGTCGGCAGGATACCGTCTGCCAGCAGAAGGTGGTCCGAATGGATGTGTTGATGGACAGGGGTGGCCGCATGATTGGCGTTGGGCTGTTTGACCCGAGGTTGCCCTGCCGGATCGGGTGCCTGTCGCCACGGCGATGCAGGGTTATTCAGCGGATAACCTTGTTCGTCAACGAAATCATATCCCTATGCGATTTCTGTACAGACCACGCCAGTGACCTCAAGGTGAAGTCGCTGCCAAATCACGCGGGTTGCCCGGCAAGCAAGCTCAAAGAGGGACAAAGTCTGCTCTTTACTGTCTTGTAGGCGGGACATGGCTGTGGTAGCCCCCTTGGATCCATCAATCGACGACTGGTTTAAGGATCACACGACTGGGACGCTCAGGACGTGGCACCGTATGCTGAAAACGTGCAAGCGACGTCAGAGGTCTGTAGAGCGTCAGGGAACGGAGCCCCTGCAACAGCTGCGAGACTGCTCCTCGCCAGAGCCGCGGCGGATCAAGATTTGTCGCCGATACCGGAGCTGGACAGCAGCCAGGCCGACGCGCCAAAGACGAGAAGACGGGGCCCAGCCTTCACCGAGAGAAGCGGCGAGAGGTAGACGGACCACAGAAGGGAGTCACGATGCGTCGGCCGCGGTTTGGCCCCGCGCGCGGACCCGCGAGACTAATGAACGCCGCACGACAGCTGCTATTCCCGCTGCCAAATCGAACCCGGGACGGCCTGCTGAGCGCCAGCCAGAGCGCCGGCGCAAGTCGCCGACAGATGTCGCTGATAAGTGCCGAGAAAGGCGTGTCGTCAGCACCACAGCCTGCACTTTGAGGGGGCCACATGGATGGGGCGGGGCGCGGGCGTCCCTAGAGATGCGTGGTTTGAGCCCTGCCCGCGTGCGCCCGCGGCGGCGACGGCGGCCGAACAGCAGGGTTCTAAGCACTCCGGGATCCGGATCCTGGAGCAGCCTCCTGGACGTTGTGCATCGACTCTGAGGACAGGTGCCGCAGTGCACAGCAACGCGTCTTCCGTTCACTGGCGTCCGTCACTTGGGTCGTCCCGTGGACTGGGCTAGTGAACGGCAGGCCTCCTGTACGGAAAACGCGTAACGCTGGTCTCCACGTGAGCAACGCCGCCCTAAGCGCGGGCGCTTCGGTCGCGCCCTCGCCCCACGACGCCATGCCGTCGTGGTGCGACCCCGTTCACATGGAAATCCTGCACGGGGATTGGGGTCAGCAGGCGACGGCAGGAACGCGGCGCCGGCGCCACCGCGAGCGGCCCGGACGCTGTGACGGGATGTCTCAGGGGCCCCGGCGACACTCAGCGAAGTAGTTCGACGCCGACGGCTGTCCGCCCCCGCGCGTCGGTCCCGGCGGAGCGTGTTCCGCGCAGCATCCCACGTGGGGCCGTTTGGCGAGATCACGGGCGTCGACGGGGCGGTGCGGCTGTCCCGTCCGCGGCACAGCGTGCTCACGTGTTGGCGCCCCCACCGGTGGCTGCGGCTCCACGCGGTGAGTCGTTACCGTTCCGAGAGCGCCCGGCCGGACGTCAGCCGAGACGACGGACGAGCGGGGCGGCGGCGGTGGCGACGACGACGACGGTCGTGACAACGCGACGCTCTGGCCCCGGCTCCGAAGCAGGAAGGGCGCTGGAATACGCTGATTTGTTAAGCACCTGTGCATTGTCCGACGGGGTTTGTGAGCTTGATTCCCCCCCCCCCCCCCCGAGTCATCGTCCGGGGGTGTAGAGCTGGCACGCCTGCACCCTCGCCCAAGAGCGCGTGGCTCACCGACCCGCTCGCGGCTCACGGAGCTGTCCGTGTTACATGAGCTCTTGCAGCTGGGGCGCCCATCGAGCCGGCCGCGTGATAGTGGCGCCCGCGAGCCACGCCCGGATATATTGCCTCCGAGATTGCGCGTGTGGCAGGCACTGCAACGCAGGAGATGGATGTTTACATTCAAGTAAACCGCTCGGAAGCCCGAGTCGGAGCGGCAGCGTCATATGCGGTGCAATGCGAGAGCACGATTCGGCTTAGTGTGACACCGACCGCGGTGGTGGCGGCAGCCGTACATCCTGATAAGGGCTCCGCCTGGCTGAAATGGGGGCAGCCCCTGTAGTCTCACCAGAGAAAAGGTCAAACCTGGGTTTGGGTGCAGAAAGCGTAATGGCACAGTGCCAGGTGCTGAAAGATTCACCAGGGCCGATGAAGGTGTTTGCATTTGCGCGCGTTTGCCAGATGAGCCAGCCCGCATGTGGCTTGCGAAAGGTCGGGAGCGCAGTGGGACAGCTGTCGGCAGCGCGCCGTCCGAGGCACATCGGTCTCCTGTTTGCACGCCCCGGCGAAATAATACGCCGCCGCTCACTGCGCAGAAACAAAAAACAGTTGCAACTGTGCAAGCGTGAGCACCTGTTTGTTGTCAGGCGCAAGGTTCATTGTTGGCATTGGGGCTTTACGACGCACTCAGCTAATGATGCTGTACGGCGTCGCCCGCCTCTCGCCATGGCAGGAATGGCGGGCACCGCAGGGCAATCGAACAATATATCCCTGGTTACCTACACGCACCACACCACCGGCACCCAGACGTGGGCTGGTGTCCCCAAGTCGTGGGGGGGGGGGGGGGGCATCGAGCTGGCGCATCTGCGCCGGCGCCCCAGAGCGCGTGGCTTGCTGACCCGTTCGGCGGCCGAACGAGATGCTCGTGTTGCATGGGCTCTTGCAGCCGATGCGACCAAGCGCCGGGTGCGTGATAACGATGCTCGCGAGCCACACACGGATATATTGCCTCCGAGATTGCGCGTATGGCAGGTACTGCAACGTAGGAAATAGATGCGGACATTCCAGTAAGGTTCTCTGAAAACTGAGTCTGGGCGACATCGTCATGCTGGCGTAACACTAGGACGCGGTTTGGCTCAGTGTGGTGCCGATCGCGCTGGTAGCGATCATGGCGGGGTTCCAGCTGAAATGGGGGCGTGCCGGGCGGGGATGCGGCAGAAGCAAGGTCAAACCCGGGTTTGGGGTGTAGAAAATGTAGCTGAGCAGCATGCTGGGTAATTCACCAAGGCCGGCAGTGGTGTTTGCATTCGGGCGGGGGTGCCAGATGAAACTGCCAGCGTGCGACTGGCGGGACGTCGGGAGCGGGAGCGGGAGGGGGGGGGGGGGCCCGCTGTCGGCATCGCGCCATCGGAGGCACATCGCTCTCCTGTTTGCACGCTCTGGCGGAATAATACTCCGTCACGCTCGCTGTGGCAACGGAAAACACGCCGCGTGTAATCACCGCCGGCCTTGCGGCCATCGCGACGGTTGCGGTGAGAATGGCGCGTTTGATCGCGGCGGCGAATGCGGCGCCGGCGCTGCGGGCTGGGAGGGAGAGAGAGAGAGAGAGAGATAGAGAGGAAGAGTGAGAGGAGAGAGAGAGAGAGGAGGAATGAGAGAGAGAGAGAGAGGGAGAGAGAGAGAGAGAGAGAGAGAGAGAGAAGGAGAGGAGAGAGAGAGAGAGGAGATGAGAGAAGGAGAGAGGGAGAGAGAGAGAGAGAGGGAGAGAGAGAGGCGAGAGAGAGAGAGAGAGGAGAAGAGAGAGAGAGAGAGAGGAATGAAGTGAAGACGACTTTGCTACCAAAGTGAAGATGGCTGCGTAATTACCCTGCCGGCGTGCGCTCGAAAACGCGATTTCTGAGCGGAGTCGCGATTTTCGTCGTTCTTGGACCATCTGTTGGTCGGACGGTTTTATCGGCGCTGCCTGAGTTGCGCCTGGACTGGCGATAGCGGACCGCTTTCATCTTGCCGCTGTTGCATTGTTCCAGAGCTCGAGCGCTCCGCCGCCAGCGAATTTCAGTGATGAGACGCACGCTCGCCCCGACACACTGCGCGAAACAATGGTTTTGCGGATCTCGGCGCGACGATCCGGGACGTGCCGGGGATCGATGCTGGAGGAACGGCCATTCGAGGTCTCCTCCACAGCCAGGCGCACGCGTTCTTTTGCGCACGTTGCGGCAGCCGTCCGCGCGCGGACGGGCGCTGCTGAAGCTAACGCATCTGACGACTTTCAGAAAAAGCTGCGAATCGCGTGGATTTGTCGGATTCTGGAGATGGTCGGCCTTGGAGTTTCCTTCTGCTGCATCGTCATCTGTCTGTTTCTCTTCTTCTACTTCAGGTGAGCTGAAATTTGCGCATCGTTTTCAACGCCCCCCCCCCCCCTCCCCCCGCAGTGGCGGAAAGGTAGAACGACACTGTACTGGAGACATCCAAGCTGAACTGGAATTTCTTCCTTGTTCACAAACCGTTGAATGATTTGTGGGTCACCGTTTGCATGAATTTAGCGCCAACGAGGTCTAAATTGTTGAAATATGGCAGCCGCAAAGTTTATAACGGGCTGCGAAAGTGGAGACTGCTGTTCATTTGGCCCATGTCCGGGTCGTCTATGCGACCCCATTACTCGTTCCCGGAATCGGCCAAAGTTTCGCCGTCACGCCGCTAAGTGCAAGTGTATCCGGGGCCATCCTAGCCGCGAGTTCACCATGGAATCTTACTTGGTCACACGGCAAATAGGAAACCATCAGCGGACCGTTCTGCTCCGTAAAAGCAGCGGAAGCCGTCCTTTTGCAGAGCCTTTCATATCTGTCCGCGCGCACCGTCGTCGTCTTTTCCTGCCAGTCGAAAAATATTCTATCCATCGGGTTTTGGCGCTGCCGGTATGTCTGGTCTGAAGTTTCCTGCAGTCGTCTTTGGTTTGTACTCGGTCAGCAGCAGTATCGTATGTCACTGACTGATGTTTTCCATGCCCTGGATGGTTTTGCTGTCTTAGGCGGTTTGGCTTCTGAGATTCTTTTAAGAAAATTTATTCGGAGTTGTTTGCACGGATAGCTTTTGACTAGGGGTATTGATTTGTCAGAGCGGGTCGCGTTTCCTCCGAGCCCAATTCACAGATAGAGTCATCCGACATTTCTAGCTGTATGGGGCTATGAACAAATAGTTTTCGTGCAATGAATTCTACAAGACAGCCGCCCCGCACCACTCGATCATCTCTACACAGTTGCCACCTAATCACGCCGCGCATTGGCCCAGCCAAAGAACGTTTCTTTAGACTCACATCAAGTGTCGCAGTATTGACTCTTAAGTATTCCTATGTATACATATATTTATATGTATATATATATATATATACACGACTTCGCGCGCCGCGTAACCATCTGTAGCCGACGCGTCAAAGCATTTCAAATCATCACCCGGCTGGGGCTGACCCGAGCCTGGTGGCGCCATCCCCCGGTTCAGGTCAACAGGCGCGTCCCCGACTCACTCTCCCCCCCCCCCCCCCTGTGACCTGGTGGTCTGCTGACTCTGAGTCCCCCAAATGTAGGCGCCTGCGGAACAGCCGCACGAGGATCCACATCCACCTGTTCACGGCCATTCTGGTGCTGGTCGTGCTGCGTCTGACGCTGTACATTGACCAGTACATCATCCGCGGCACGAGCGCCGACGGCCAGGAGCGCGGCATCGACAACACGGTCAGTGTCAGTGGATCAGTGGGCACCGATGGCGGGATCAGTGGGCACCGATGGTGGGATCAGTGGGCACCGATGGCGTGATCAGTGGGCACCGATGGCGTGATCAGTGGGCACCGATGGTATGATAAGTCAGCACCGATGGCATGATACCTGGGTGCCGATGGCATGATTAGTCGGCACCGGTGGCATGACCAGTGGGTGCTGATGGCATGATCAGTGAGTGTCGATGGCATAATCAGTGGCTACCGATGGTATGACCATTGGGTACCGATAGCATGGTCAGTGGGCATCGATGGCGTGATCAGTGGGCACCGACGGCATAATCAGTGGGCCCCGACGGCATGCTCATTTGGCACCGATGGCATGGTCAGTCGGCGCCGATAGCATGATCAGTGGGCACCGATGGCATGCTCAGCCGGCACCGATGACATGATTAGTGGGTACCGATGGCATGCTCAGTCGGCACCGATGGCATGATCAGTGGGCTCGGATGTCATAGTCAGTCTGCACCGGTTTCATGTTTAGTTGACATCAACAACACGGTTGTCGCGAGGGGTGGCACGACTAGCTGGGCGCGCTGAGGCTGACAGCTCAGGGGGTTCCGTCAGTCGTTCGTTTTATTCGGTGCCCAGGGCTACGTGGACGCTCTATCAATACCACGGTACCGTAAGGGCGCGTGTGTGTGGTGTGTGTTGGTGGTGTGCAGGGGTGTGTGTGTGTGTGTGGTTGTGTGTGTGTGTGTGTGTGTGTGTGTGGTGTGGTGTGTGTGTGTGTGGTGTGTGTGTGTGTGTGTGTGTGTGTGGGTGGTGTGTGTGTGGTGTGTGTGTGTGTGTGAGTGTGTGTTGGTGTGTGTTGTGTGTGGTGTTGTGTGTGGTGTGGTGTGGTGTGTGGTGTGTGTGTTGTGTGTGTGTGTTGGTGTGTGTGTGTGTGTGTGTGTGTGTGTGTGTGTGTGTGTGTGTGTGGTGTGTGTGTGTGTGTGTGTGTGTGTGTGTGGTGTGTGTGTGTGTGGTGGTGTGGTGTGGGTTGTGTGTGGTGTGGGGTGTGTGGGGGGTGTGGTGTGTGTGGTGGGTTGTGTGTTGTGTGTGGGTGTGTGTGTGTGTGTGTGTGTGTGTGTGTGTGTGTGTGGGGGTTGGTGTGTGTGTTGTGTGGTGTGGTGTGTGTGGTGTGTGTGGTGGGTGTGTGTGTGTGTGTGGTGTGTGTGTGGGTGGTGGTGTGTGGTGGGTGTGTGTTGTGTGTGTGTGTGTGTGTGTGTGTGTGTGTGTGTGTGTGTGTGTGTGTGTGTGTGTGTGTGTGTGTGTGTGTTGTGTGTGGTGTGCTGTGTGTGTGTGTGTGTGTGTGTGTGTGTGGTGTGTGGTGTGTGTGTGTGTGTGTGGGTGTGTGTGTTGGTGTGGTGCTGTGTGTGTGTGTGTGTGTGTGTGTGTGGTGTGTGTGTGTGTGTGTCTGTGTGTGACTGGCGGCAGTGTTGCCCTTAGTCGGACATGCATCGCTACGCTTAATTTGCCGTCGGTCGATGCCGTCAGTTGCAACCCCTCCCACAACGTTTCTCCTGTTTGGCATTTAATTTCGTGTGCGGTTGTTTTCATACGCAGATCCAGAGTTAGTCTTGCATCATGGAAATTACGGTAACGTCCCCTTTGAAAGGGATTTTTTTTTGTCCAAACTGCGAGAAAATGACATTGTCAGCTGTTTCCACTCGTAAAAACTTTCGATGAAGACAGCCGTTTCGTTAACGTGCTATGACCCAAAAGATTTATTTTACACTCGCTACAACCATCCAAAATGAATGAGTATTTTTTTAGAGCCATTTCATGCCGCGTCATGTTCTGGCGTCATACTACAGCACACTCTGCCAGAGATGTTACTTGCTTTTGAAATGGTGCTCGCATGACGGATCAGAAAAAATAACCTAAGAAATTTTACCTAGTTAGCTATCAATTCGCTTTTGTTTTGCCCCCACTTGACTACTGTTGTGCACCTCAAAGCCATATTTTTACCAGCATCTGCATGTTCAGGCTTCTTTGAGTTATCACCTCCACCTTGTACAAACCAAACACTCGTCGTTGCCGGCTATCCTGTCACCAATGAGTCCTGCCTTTAAGAGCCCGCTGTCGCACCACTTGCATGCAATGTAGGACTAACCCGTCTACATGACCAACCTGGTGTTAAGGTCCTTTAAATCATGCGCGTGATCTTTTCCGGATTAACGTCTTCAGTTGGGGTTCCCAACCACCCTGTTGTATGGCAGCTTGATGAGGATGCCCGTAAAAATCAGCTAGCCTAGGTTAGAGAAAAACATGCAATTTATGGTAATACGTTGAACAACGGTTTGGAATTCAGCATCATATTAGTTACAGCTCGATTGAATGTATCATAGTGAAGCAAGTTCAAATGCAATTATTTCGTAATTGTCTGTGTGCTGACTGTATGGTAGTCGACTGTTTCGTTGATGAAGCGGTGGTTCAGTGTCAGGCCACTCATATCCCTTCGTGTGCCACCGTTTATATTTGAAATGTTCAAGCATGTACAAAGACCCTCCACTGCCGCTTAAACTGTAGTGGTGGTATTAAGGGATGACGAGGTTCGTTTGCCCCGTTCGCTCGCGCATACATAGTGCTCTTAATCCCATTTACAATTCGGAACAATACGGATTAGTCCCATTCAGAACATTCGGCGAACTAAAAACTAATGAGGTAATCGAGCGCCGATTGGACTTCGCTGAAACAGTAATTGTTGGGTCTGCGTCGGACGCACCCAGCCGTTCAAGCGACTGAAGTAATGGAGCGGCAAGCTCTCTAATGGGGGCTTAGCCTAACCGGGCAGCCGCTGTGTGACTTCAGTGGAATGGCTGGCGGCCAGTCCGCCCACCGGCCATCGGGGACGACCAGTGGCTGGAAACTGTCAACAGCTGTGGCGTTCTGATGGTCTTGTTTATCTCGCGGCCGTCGTTCGCCGTTCGAAACTCGGTCCGGAAACTTGGCTCGACGCCCTTTTGCTTTGGACGGGGAGGAAAATAGGCGTTCGGGACGGGCAACGGGCTGGCGAACGCTGACACTGCCGGCAGGATGGGACCCGTCGTTGTTTGCTGTTTGTTTGCGTAATGGAAGAGTACGGCAAGTAACGATCGTCACGGAAGTGGATTACATGTCCAATGAAGCTCGGCGGGGAGTTGTGTCCAAACAGGTGACAAGCCAATGCTGTTTTGAATGCGAACCCAACGCAACGAGTTCCCACAGCATTGTCGCCACTGAAACTGAGGCCACAGTCCGCTTACAAGATCCTTGGCAGAGCCCTGGGATCCCAGCGCTCATCTCAGGGTGGGGCCCGTCAATCTTTCCGTCACGCCCCACCAACGCGCTGTATTTCCGGCGGCGCGCTGGACCAGTCGGCGTCCTGCTCCCCCCCCCCCCACGCACCCCCTCCTCCGGGTCCGCCCGGTGTTGGGCGTAACTAGTCAGGGTCGCGGCCGCTCCGGGGACCGGGTCGTCGCGCCGCGGCGTTGTTGCCACGCGCGCGCGCTGGCGAGCGCTTACCGGGGCGCGTTGTTATGTTCCAGCCGGTGCTCTGCGAGCTGTTCTACGTGCTGCAGGAGTGGGCGCGTTCGGCCACCTTCCTCTGGATGTTCCTCGAGGGCTTCTACCTCCACTCGATGCTCACGAGGGACGTCTTTAACGAGAAGCCCAACTTCGTGTGAGTATCAGAGGCCCATTGCTCTCGTCCATCGGGCGAGTTCAGGCATCCATGGAAGCGGTGTGATGCTATGTATAGCATACCTAATGACATCTTCGCATGACAACGGGCATATGAGCGAAATGCGCCGTGGAGATCCTGATGTATTGACGTCGCTCGCTATATCTCTGTGGTGGGATATACGAGATGCAAGGGAATTTTACGGTTCCCCCACATGTTTGCCGACAATAACTATTTGCTCCTCATGCAAGCTGTGAAAAACTGCAAAAGGTCACGCGAGGGCCCTTGTCTTGCTGCCACCTACCGAAGCTTATTTCCCTCAGGATCGCTAGCCGGGAACTTTAAGTCAGTTCCATGGACGTAGGGTCATCATTTTAGCTGGAATTAGACGGTCTTGGCGTTATAAAGGAAAATGCTGGGGAGAACTTCCTGTGTAAAGGAAAATGCGGGAGAACCTTCCCTGTGACGAGAAGGCCTGAACAAATGCCTTGAATTAGGGGTTCTCTAAATGTTAGCATTTACAGGCCTCGTTCTTCATGTTTAGGCGAGACACAATGTGTGACGTATTGCGCCCTGGGCACGAGTTTGGTTAGCTCGAAATCGCCCTAATTGTTGCAACTTCAGAGAACTCATTCCATTTTCCTGGGAGAAACCATATATCAACGAAGTGTCTTTTGTCGACAAGGGCATGCATTGTTTTTTGTCGTTGAGGAAGCAAATCGTCTTCGCTGTCAGGGAAACGGCAGAGGCTCAGTCAGGAAAACAACCCTGAAATAACCACATTCGAGCGTCATTAGGCTTTCTTCGGCTGCTTTTTTCGCGCGGGCAGCAAGACTCGACCGGCCACCGACAGGCGGAGGTGGCCACACAGCATTAATGCAGCTGGCGGCGCGGGCCGCCGCGGCCGCCGCGTGCCCTGATAAGCGGGCCCTCGCGGCTTGGAGAACGGCCGATGGCGACCGGCGATTTCCGCCCGAAAACAAGTCGAGAACTTGGCCGTGCTGGCCGACAGTGGAATCAGCGCCCGTGCTGGCCGGAATCGGCTTGTTGCTCGCGTTTCCGGCAGAGCCGGGCCGATTGATATTCTGTCTGGCGAAGTCGAGCGGTCTTAGATGACCGCGAGATAGCCGAATTCCCCTGCGCCGCCCCCCCTTCCCGTCACCGGCAGCCTCTCGGAAAGGCAAGTGAGTATCAGTCATGCAATGGTGCTGCCGGTACTCAAGCTACCTGAACCACGCACTAGTGCCGTGTTTCCACCGCACCCGCATTCTTTCTGGAAAAATAAAGGAATGTAGCGCTTTATATAAAATGCTGATAACTAAACCAATAATGAAATGTAGCGCTTGTGTGCGCGCATCGGTGGATGTAGTAGAAATATTTTTCTCATCCTTTTCTACTCGATTTTTCTCGTTTCCATCTGAACGCAAACCTTGTGTATCTGTACCTGCCAGAACTATGCAGAAAACGAATAGCGTGTATGTATTCACACGCTCACTCGCAGGCATTTTCTGTTCGTGAAACTTACATTTAACGTTATATCTGCGCATGAACGTACAGATCTTAGTAAACTTTCTTGTTCCGAAAATCCGTTGGATCCAAGTACAGTTAGACCTGTCCTTTGCGTCCGGTTTGTAGAAATGCACACGTTTCTTTACGAAAGTGGATCCAGAGGAAATAATCTAAGGCAAAGTGAATACATATACCAGAAAAAGGCTCATCCTGTTTAATTCAGGAGATGCAGTACAGATAGTTAAATAACTGGCCGTTGGACAAGCCTGGATGGGGGGGGGGAAAAACAATGAACACCAAGGTGAATGCTCCAATTCTCATCCTTACCACAAATGAAACTAGGAGCGAAGCACCCGATTCTGCCGATATGATCCCCAGTGACAGACAAGAAACCGTTAATTGATTGGTGAAACATTGACAAACACATCAAGTCTCCGCGAACGTATCTCACACCACAAAAGTCTCCTTTATTCCCCTCAGTTCCTTAACCTTTATCAAATACACAAATCAATGAAGCAAGTAGTCTAAATGCATTCGAAGCCGACTGTCCACAAAACATTCCAAGAAGAAACATCGCGCAGACTGTATCAGTTCGAACCAACCGTCCTCTTCGATGACAGTTGCAGCCCCTGAAACAATTATCATACCAAATTGTGCCTTTTAAACGCCAATGCACATTTGTTGCGAACAAAACAGGAAGATGCCATTCATTAGAAGAAAACAGCTACGACTCTGCAATTCAAACACGCTACATCGTTCTTTGTTCGATGCCGATAGGGAAAAAAGGAAAACGACCACCCGCATACCAGATGCTGTGCAAATATTGTCTTCTTAAACCTGTTTTCATGCCGTGAATTTCTCTTGAATTCAACATGGTGTAGAGGATGTTCGTCGGTGATAGTCCGAGCATCTCTTGCCCGATTGTGGACGTGTACTTAATGTGTAATGGGGACAAGAGCGCTTCAAACTCGCGTCTTTGCCTCATCATCTTTAATCAGGTTTTTGGCTAGAAATTTCTAGTAGCGCTTCAGATGGAACGAGGTTTGTAAAGAGGCAAGCTCAAGGAGCGGCCGTTTATGAACACAATTGGACAGATACGGAGAAACACAGGGTGTAGAGGAAAGGAACGTCCAGATTTTCCTTGCCCCTGGTGTGAATAGAATACACCGGCCACATTACCACTTCTAAGGATGCAAAAAAGCCGCCAAACAATAAACATTTGCGTTCCGTATCGTTCATTTGTTCATCAATCAGTGAAACCTACGCGTAGGTTGCAGGTGGAATGGCCAGCTTCAGATATTACATGCTAGGTATCGACGCATTGAATTGTTGAAGTAGCAGTAAGCTGCTGGTCGATATCTGACAATTACTACATCGCCGTTCAAGTTCGCCGAAGGACCCCGCGGAACGCCACAACGTAATATCTACTTCGGATTGATTCCACCCTCTTTTGATCCTGAAATCAATTATCACTTGATGAAACAGGTGTTCCATCCGCAAAATTAAACTGCGGAATGTCATAATGAAATACCTTACTTGGAGCATTACATCCTCTTTGATTACCTACTAAAATATCGTTTGTTCATTCATTGTAAAACTTAATTTTAAAATGTTGATATATATACATATATATATATATATATATATATATATATATATATATATATATGTATATATACTTATACATTATTAATCGCTTGCGGATTAATTTGATTGCATATCTTAAAAATAGCAATGCAAAGCATTCTAGTGAGTGAGAATTTGCAAGCTCACGCCTGCCCATAGCAGATAAGAGCGTCCTCGAACGTTTTTGCACGCGCTGTGACGCGTCTTTTCAGCGTCTGAATTTTGCTCAAGCCACTTACGAGCACTTCCCGCGTCCCGGGCAGTGCCAGCGCCCAGAGCGGTTTGCGCTGACCGAGCGGGTCGCCCGGGGCGTTCTGGCTTCCTGGACATGAAGCGCTGCTGGCTGGGGTTTGAGAACCGCGTGAAGTCGTCTAACGATTGATCGGAACTCTGCAGGCTGCCAGCCAGCAGCTCATTTGACCAGCCAAATCCAAGCGGGAATTCTTGGCACCGCGCCAACGTCGGTGTATGGTGGTGAAAGATAGCCACGTGGGCTGAGCTGGCTGAAACGGGCCATCTAAATGCTTGTAACTGTTTTTCAACGGTCGCGATGATGGACCGGGACACGGCTATCTTTACAATTGATCAATCTTTAGGCATAAAAGCTGTTGTGGTTTCGGCGAAGTGTGTTGTTTTTCACGCAACCATCGTGGTCGGTTAGTGTTCATTTTCTTTTAGGGCTGGTGGACAGCACGTAGCTTGAACTTGAATAAAACACTCTTGAGTCACATGCTAACGGATTTGGATATTTCTGGCCAGATCTCAGACATTCATGCTCACAAGCCAGACATTGAGAAGTATCCATGACGGTCACATGATCCCGACGGGTCAGTCGTGATTCGCCTGTTTTACTTTGCATCCGGGTGAGCTCTGCCTAAGCTTGCTAGTACTTGAGCAATTAGTACGATGGTCTGACGTCTTTTGTATGATCTTAACGCGTG